AATAATAACAATAATAGTAATATATATATATAAATACTAATCCCGAGGCCCGGTAATTCGAGAGGGGGGGAACCCCCCCACTAATCAAGAGCACGGATTATGCACCACGATCACTGTAAGCATACTGCAATGCAGTGTCTGATCTGCACAGGCTGTCCGCTTTGCCTACTGGCACTGAGCCCACTGATCCGCACTGCAAGGTTTGAACTGAGAAAGCTGGCGTGGCGCTACGATTTAATCATCTGCGCGACGGCCTTGTCCAGTTGCAAGTCGCGCAAGATGGCTTCGTACCACGTGGCAGCGCCTGCCCTCTGTCGCACCTCGAATGTAAGGCCCTAAGCCCTTCTTGGCATTGAAGCGCTGAAATATACAACATGTCGGACAATGATCTGCCAAGCTGCTTCCACGAAGGCAAGGTTTCGAGGTACGATGCCCGGTGTCATCAACCAGAGAGCAGGAAATCAGGAATAATCAGGATCTGCGTGACAGGGTGTAGCCCGCAGATCTGCGGGCCTAGCTACCCAGACGTCGAGTCATGGCAACGCTGTGGGCGATGCAGGGCTGCGTCAAGTCCTGTATTATTGGAGCATTTATGGTTGAAGTAATGCTTCTAAACCCGCTTCTTTCCGCTGCGAGCTCTCCTGCAAGATGCAGAATACACGGCGATTGCCTTGGAGGGCTAAGCAAGACTGTGACAGCGAACACACGTCTGAAACAAACAAGTTCCACATGTTCCTTCCACATGTGCCACGACCTCATAAGTGGCTGCGACGAAGGCCCACAAGGCTGCAAAAAGGAAAGCAGAGCTGAACAGTAGGAGGACACGAGCTAGCAGATAGCACTGCATAGCCAGATCGTCTGTCGTGTGACGTGACATGGAATTAGCACGGCTGGAGTGCGACTCCACGAAGCCGCCGCGGGACTGTTGCAGTAGTCTGATGGAGACGTCAAGGGCTGTAAACACAGTCCCTGTGTCCCAGGCGTGAGAATTAGGAGCTACTGTAAGCAGGCATGAAACCGCCAAGGGCAGGTGATTGTGCACAGCTTCAAACTTCGAAGGATAACGCTTCAACTCCCTGTACGATCAATCTTGAAAACTAGTTGCCTTTCGGGTAAGGATGTGTGGCAGAGTGCAGGGCGGATTTGAGCTTACGAGCATGCTTAATTGACCTTCGATTGACAAACCACGAATGCACGATTCTACAAGCGTGGCAGCGATAAATCCGTTACAGTATTTCTTGTAGATCAGGTCAGGTTCTTCCCATATGAGGAGCACAGGATTGTCAATCCCAGCTACTTGCTGTGGCCTTCCGTGTTGTACTTCTCAGTGCTTTCGTTCCGGGGCAGAGAAATGGAACCAGGGCCAAGCCGTGACAAGCCAAGGCAGCGGGCACCCCTGCTGGCCTCCGGGTCATCGGGCTTCTGCCTAGAGGGATAACAGATGTCAGCTGTGGCGGGTGACGACAAGAGGCTACCCTCAGGCCCGAGGATTGCATGCCACTGCTCCGACGAGATAACCATGAAGTGCATAAGATCTGAGAAAACCTCGCAGTCCCAGCGATCTGAGCTCCAGACTCAGCACCTTGGGCCTCAGCCGACGAGCAAAACACTGTTTGGCAAATTTCGAGTGCCCGCCTTCCCTGCCTCATCTCTTACAATGCACACATATAATACCCCGGATGCACTTACACCAAAGCCAGGCCCGCAAACTAGCGTCACCAGCTGTCACTTGTTATTTTGACACATTGCGCAGAACAACCTGTATTTTCTCACATGGCAGGGCAATCCTTGTGTACTTACTCTGGTGCAATATGATGTTTTCGAAGCAGCAGCAAGTAGGCGCAATTACATCATCAGCCCGACTGCCGCCTGCCAGCGAGGACAAAAGCCGTGTGTGCGGGCTGATCCGTGTCCCGCTGAGCCACCCACGTAAGTCTGCGGCGTCTGAGCTTTCAAAAGGCTGAGAGAGGTGTAAGTCTCCTGCGATGGTGGGAGGATGTCGGAGGGGTTTTGCAGAGTGGAGTCGATCGTGTCTGTGAGCCATCAGAACACACAGCCCAACAATCGCTGCAAGTCGTTCTCCATAACTGCTCGGAACTTCTGCTTGTTATGACCTTCCGAGGTTGTGGGTCCTTGGTGACTTTTTCCGTCTCGGCGATGACCTTTCGACTGCAACTCAGAACGAGCAAGATGAAGCTTAACCGTGCCATAAGGCATTTCAAGCAAAGACTTGTAGCAATCACTGCTGTGGTACTGTTGGGAAGCTCCAATGTGGCACTAATCATCACGACATGTCCGATGCAGTTTGGCCTTCTGAATTTCCTGCTCCACCGCGAGTTTGTGACTCTCAGCTGCTGCCTTCCATTCACAGCTGCAGCAGAAGCATGCTTCTGGGACACTTCGACGCACACCCCGTCATGCAAAGCCAGTCTGCAGCAGGTCTTCGTTTGAGGTCAACCTCCCGAAAAGCTGGTGCGGTGTTCAAATGGTCAGTGCTGGTGAGGAAACAGGTCTTGAGAAATGATGACGGCACTCGCACGAACCGCAACCGCCACCGAAATAGGGCTGATCTTTGCCGCCACGATGTCAAGACGGATGATCGCTGCTAAAACTGCGTGGCAAACCTGAAGATCATGGTCGGCACGAAACAACTGCAGGTCCAGTTGATGTGGTGCTGCTGATCTGCTACCACGACGATCATCACTTGCAGTAGGAGTAACATCAAGGAGGACAAAATGGTTGACAGGAATTGCACTACTACCGAATTAAAGACCGACTCCAGAAGTCCGACGACATCTCTGCCTCGTTGACAACAGAAAAAGCGAAGAACATGCACAAGTCGTGCGCACTGTTCTGTTTCCCTGCCGAGCTTCTCAATGTTAGGCTTGGCTTTAGTTCGACTTGCCCTCTGCGCTCTGAGAACCCGTGCCAAAGCATCGGCAGCCTCATCACGCCTCTGTTTCGAAAGGGGTCCACTGAGCAGCCGATTTGGAGCTAGAGCAGTGCGACAAACAGCTGAAAACGGACGCCGGAGCAATCAGTGCACAACCTGCCCAGCGAATGCAAGGCAGCTTTTCAAGGGCATCCTTGCGGCTCTTGCGACTTGGGAATCCGGGCAGACCTCTGTATGCCACCCAAGGTGAATACTGAAGTATATATACTAATCTACTGCCCACCTTGTACAGAACTCTGTCAGGATTCCAGTGGCTTCTGAATTGCAACGCTGTCTTTCAGCGGCTTCACATCTGCAGAATTAGCGACGGAGCATTCCCGAGTCTCTACATCCCTTGTCTAGGGATGCTGTGGGTTTCAATCTCAAGCATCAGGGCGGTTCATGGATGTGGATACGGGTTTTCGGCTGCCGAGGTTGCCCAATCGAGGCTCGACTCTGCACCAGGTTGTCACAAGAAGTACTCAACCGGGGGCCTGCCGATGGCTGCTTCACCCCGACGAGGCGCGGGATCAAACTGCACAAAGTGAGACCCTAGCCGCTCATCAATCTCCATGATCGCAGCCTGGTTTCCGGAACCTGAGCGGTCAGGCCTGGCCGTCTGGCCTAGCCCACCCACATGAAGCCTGCTAAGACTGCAGGTGCGGCCAAGGAGCGGTAGCAGTAGTTTGGCGCAGAAAAGATAGTGACAACTTGCTGTTCCTGGGATCAAGGAAATTTTCACGTGGGTAGTTCGTGGGTAAGTAGTGTGTTTTGCCGGCATATAGGCCACGGTACTGCTTACATACGGCTTCCAAGGTTTTTGTATAGACGGCTCAAGGAAGTCCTATGTAAGCACCAGAGGGGCTTGGCTCGTGCAGCCTATGTAAGCATTCATGGCAGGCTAAAGGCCACAAGGGAACAAGGTCTGGTTTTGCCGCGTGCCAGCACATACCAGCAACAGTGGGGGTCATCGAAAATGTAAGCACCACGAAAACAAGGGCTGTGCAAGTGCCTTGCAAAGCCTATGTCAGGGCTGTAAGGAGTATGTAAGGCCTTATAAGTGCCATGTAAGGCTCATTTAAGGGCTATGTAAGGGCCATGTAAAGGCTTTGCGGGGTGCCCTTCCTGGTCTCTAGCATTGGTTTTGCAGGGCCCCCCGAGCCGATAGATTCCAGTTCCCTAAACCCTAAACCCTGAATGCAAAATCCGTAAACCAAATCCGCGAGGAGCTCCCCACCAACAACCACCCCCACTCACCCCCCGCTTCACGCGAGGTCCCGGGGCGAATCATAAGGGCCACGCTGGTCCCTCGCGACCTACAGTACCGGCTTCGAGGTCTCTGATGTGATGCGATGACCGTAACGCCGCGACATGTTGACACATGTACGGTTTGGACTTCTCGAACGTGACATGCTCCAGACTTGGCAAGGCTGCACTGCCAGGCCGCTGATGTCAACGTGGGTTGCTGTGGGAGGTCGCACGAGAACTCTACACTCTAGACTCTAGATCTGAAACAGCTGGCACGGACTGCAGCAGAGCAGCGCAATGCCGATGCCCAAAGAGCCACGCACGCGTGCGACAAGTGCCAATCACCATCACTAGTTCTTCGTCATCAGTACCAAGGCAAGCTTTAGCAGCAATGAGACCCACAGATCCACGACCACCGAAGAAATTTGCTGGAGACAAGCTTCATGGGTCCAGTTGTACCCTTCCATGACCAGCTGGTGCGCCCTCGCGATGAGGTTCAAACCTGTCTTGCATCTGAATGCATAAGGAAATAAGGTGACAGTTCGATTGGCTGGCATTTGTGTGTGCGCCCAGAAGCCGTTCGACTGGTTGAACTTCTCGGACACATCCTGCCCGAAGGTGTAGCCCGCGCCTTCCCAGAAGATTCCAAGTTCTCTAAGTAAAGCAAGTAGCCGTAAGGAAAGTCTACGCTTCCAACATCCACTCGCCTCGAGGACTCACGCCCCAGCCGAGACGATCGTCAGGATCACCTTGGGCCGCTGTGCAGAGACAAAAGGATCTACAACTTCAGAGCCACAGGAATGCATGGGACCGTGAATGCATGGGGCTGTAAACGACCACATGAACCACCTGAAACAAACATGCTTGAGCATGCTTACTTCTGTCTGTTCTCTGTTCGTGTAGAATCTAGAAGGAGCTGCGCGATACTTCGACGAGCCAAGATGCTCCAAAGGAGATCGCACATGGCGCCCTCGTGCGGCACCTCCTGTATCCGATCAAGCTTCCTGACCTTAATGTGAAGAGCCGGTGAAAATGCTGCAGAGGCTGAAGATGCTTGTGAATGATGCGACAAACAACGGCCAGCATCATCACCTCTACAATCCACTGCAGCTCAGTCGACATCGTCTAGCTTCTCGATGCTCGGTGAGAGGCCTGGCCATGCTGCAAGCAAGTAGGCTAGAGGAAGGCTTCGCGTCCTTTCGATAGTGCACTGGTACGTCTCTAGATGGTCAAACTTTGGAGCCTCCATGCTGTGAGAAGATCCGGTTCTCGACCAGGGCAGTCAAGGGCAAGTAGTCGAATAGATCGGTGAACATCTTCCTCGCAGTCTTCACTGCACTTCAGTGAAAGCTCAGACGCAGCGGCCTTCCAAGCCCGATCATTGCGTCCGCAGGAGGGGGCTCAGGGCACTGCTCACGCATCAAGTTCCCTTCTTATTCCCTTCCTTTCAAACGACCATCGCCATCACTGATATCAGCATGGCTATGACAAGTGCGACTGCGTTCTCCCTCATGACGACTGCAATTTCTCTTGTGGTTGTAGTGATGACTGATGATATGGCTTGTCACCGTGCATATATGACGGTGGTAGTGATGACGATGGTTGAGATGATACTAATGGGGGGAGTATTCTAGGTAGGCAACCATCTGGTAGGAGGGAAACAGCTTTGCTGAACCGTCGTCAGAACCACCCACAGATGCGTCGATCCATAAAGCCATGGTTCCACACACTTTGGCTGCCATACTTCCGAGCGCACTCGTCGAAGAAGCCGTAGATCTGCGTGATCTGGCGACTTTCCTGGGAATCTGAAAAATCACAGCGTTGCATGCCAGCCCCGAGCTCAGAACGGCCCTTAAACCTTCCATTCGCTTGCGAGGCGCGTGGTTACCCCGAAGAATGGTGATCCGTTCCCGGTACCGGACCTTGTAGGCTAGCAGAAGGGACACCTCAGACCAGGCTTGTAAGTTCTGTCTGAGCTTGCTGGCAAGGTCTAGCGTTCAGGATGTACAAGCATACAGACTACTGGTACCACAAGTAGGAAGATTCCTGGCTCATGTTATGTCGGGATGTTCGGCTTTCAGTTACCCGCAGCAATCTATAGTCTATGCTTTGTCTCCACACGATCTGGTACGAGATGTCGCGATCCTTTCACAATCAAGCTCAAATTCGTAAGTCGCCACCTCTTGCGGCTCTCCAGTCTTGCAGGAGCCATCCATTTCTGTTGTCATAAAAACGCAGTACTCAACACAACAGTTTGAGCAAAGCTGCGCACTCTACCGAGAAATAGCCTCGGTCGACGTAGTCCCCGAGGAAGAGATAATTTGTGTCTGGGAGGAGGCCCCCTATACGGAAGAGCTCCATGAGATCATGGAACTGGCCATGGATGTCACCTGTTGGCGGGCTGTGCTGAAGAACTACCCTGTCGCAAATTCCAACCGCACAATATCTACTCAGACAGAGAAACCGAGAAAAGACTGCTCTGTGGCATTCACAGGCCAAGCCTGATATCGTCACAGGGCATCTGACCGGCTGCACATTGCTCTCCTGGCGATGTTCTCTGGAAGTTTCTGCTGAACTGCTGTCCTCTCTCGGTCAGCCTAGCGGGATGTGGGGCGAGCACCCTCTTCTCGGCTGGGCGGGCTGCCAGTCTGGATCTCAGCTGAAGCCTCATTTCAAGAACCCCTCCACAACCCAAGAGGCAGTCGGTCAAGGGTTCGGGGACTCTGCGCAAGTGCAGATGCTTTGGCAGTGTAGAGGCTAAAAGCGCTGTTGGCCGACCTTCGATGGCACAAGCTACTGATCCTGCCAGAAAGCAAGAGCGCCAATCCACAAGAAAGCTGCAAGTTCGATTAGGTTGGACTCGCAAGAACTGACGAGCCGCCCTACATTGGGTGGGAGATGGGATGGTGACTATATGAGAATATTATTGGGGGTCCATGGTGGCTTTTTCAGGCTCCCGCCGCTATTTCTTATGCTGGATGTGCTGGGCTCCTTTACGAACCTACCGATTCCATGCTACCCCTTCCTTTTTGCTGGGGCTCTTTGCTTGTGCTGAAAGGGCTTGTGGTGATAGTGTTGCTTTTGGAATTGGGGGATCCATTTGCAGGTGCAGGAACGGAGCACGGACACCCGTGGACCCTAAACATCTCCACCTACACAGCTGTGGAAATGTAGTGTGTGTATGTGATGTCTAATATATACTACCATCGTGCTTACACATTGACGCACTGGGTCTCCTCGGCCAGGATCTCCCGAGCCATTTCTGTGAGTTGCTTGACCTCGCTCTCGGAGAGGTGCTTGCACTCCATAAGCTGCTCCTGAGCTGGAGCTGGGATGCTGTGCAAGGTGGGGATGCTCCTGGTTGTTCCCGACGTGATCGGAACAGCCGCCGATAACATGCGACAGTCACAGCAACAAGCCATCAACCACATCGAACATCACCCCATCACCTAAACGAGGATGATTGTAATATGGGCGATGACGACTGACCCAGAACTGCCTGCACCGGCAATCGCGGCAGCAAGCTTGAAAGCCAACATCCACCACCGTCACTACCATCATCGCAACCCATTTCAAGCTCCCCGTAGTCGTCCTACAACTGCCCCTCGCCTGACTAAGCATCCCAACTCGTAGAAGTAGAAACCATCCTGGTCATCAGACTGGCTTTTTGTTCTTGGCTAGGGTCGGTCAGATCAAGCGCTTGTCTATCTGCGAACTCGGCAATACAGTAACCCCTGCGCTCATCATCCGTCACTTGGTGCAGGTAGATTTGGAAGAGTCAAACAACCAGTCGCAGTACCAATGAGAAAGCAAGCATCTGGTGGACTATGCCTATGTCATGCAGTGCTAGCTTTGCTAATGATGGAATTCCTGGTCCCTCTGGGTGCAAATCTCCGGGTGCAAATTCGTGGACGTCAAAAAATGTTGCCGTTGTTGCTGCTTTTGCCAGCAAGATGTTCATGCCGATTGCTGTGCGTGTGTACCAGGGCTTTGCTTTCACCTCGACAGAGGAATCGAAGTCAAGTGTCAGCTGCCACGAACTTCTCGGGCAGTGTAGCGGCAAGCTTCGGGCCAGAATCAGTCTGTTTCGGAACTTATAGCCCATGCTTCGGGAAATAGAAGACTTCCAGACTTACAGGTCTTTACGGGTTTGGAGTGCTGGGGGTTTGCAGCCGCAGAATTGCGGCACGCGTCGCTTGCTGAGCAGCTCAAAAAGCCAAGGCTCGATACATCTGTCTATATCCAGTCTTCTGGGGCTGTTGGGCCCCAGCTTCGTCTTGTCGGCCATGGGGCTCCCCCCCGCCAGGGCCGCACATGGGTCGCCCTGACGGGCCCCAAAATCATTCTGAGCCAGACAGCCACGATGCAGAGATGATTTCGACGAAATTCAACTGCTCATGGCGCCACGCAAAGGCCCAGGAGGACAGATGGATCTCGTATCTTAGTGAATTCCATTGAAATCTAGTTTCCACTCATTCGGAAAGCTTTGAGTCTCTTCCTTTCACGCTGCTTTTCTTATCCGCCCCCGGCCTCCTCTCAAGCTCGCGAAGCTGCTGTGCCAGCTCCTGGCTCGACCTCCGAGCCCGTTGTTTTTGTAAGTTTAACGCTTTTATTTTCCTCCCGCCTGGCTAGGACGAACCTATGATGCAGGGTTTAAGGCTTTAGGGGTTTAGGGTTTAATAGGTCCTGTAGGCTCTTTGGTACTTTTTGCGGGGCACTCATCTGAAGCTCTTGGGCTCCGGCTGAGTCGAAGCTTCGGCTGCAGCCTCCACTGGGAACGGCTTTCATCTTCAAGGATCCAGGGCCAAGGAGGAGTCAGGAAAGCTGAAACAAAAACCCTAACTCTCAGACTCAGGCCGCGAAGGGGGCAGGATTCAAAGCAAACGAAGCTAAGGTCTGGCCTCCAGGGCTTCCAGCTCTTGTCGGTGGCTTTGGTTTTCGTTGTCCAGCACCTGGTGTAGCCTCGGCAGCGTTCGTCGGCGAAAGCAGTACGAATTGTAGGAACTTGCCGGAATTGAATCGGAACGGAGCTACATGCAGTAGGACCGAACGTACCGGGGATCTAGAAGTGTGAGAATCGCTTTGGGGCAAAAGAGTCAGCTCGCAGATCACAGGAAGCTTTACTCGTAAAGCATTTGTGTGCAATAGCCTCCAAAGGCATCTATAAACATGTGCACCTGCACGAAGAAACGAAGGAATACATTTACGGTTTGCGAACAACGCATCTGTACATGCATAGAAGGCAAGGACATACGGTGCTTGATTGCTGGATTTCCGGGTGTATTGTGCCATATCGCCTTGTTTGCGCGTTCGACTCATTTTCCAAGAGCTCTGCTTTACAGGTTCTGCGCATCCGGAGTGCCACGGTAAAGTGCACTACCGCGCGCACCTCACGTCACTCTGACTTGCTCATCCAGATATCATGGCCACAGGCATTCAACCCATGCAGGCAGACAGTACGATCATGTACGGCCAAAATCAATATGCGGTCGGTTCTTTTTGTTAGGGTCCGCTTGCAGATCTTCGTCTCGCTGCAGACCGCTCGCCAGTCTTTGGGCGTACCTCGGAAACTCTGCTGGTTTTTGCCCGGGTTGTCATGCCTTACGACTGCCTGGCGTGACTTTTACTGCATGCATGAGGCAATAGGAAGGCAAGTGTGCGTTAATGAAGTGCAGATCGCACTGGTGCTTTGCAGCTGAGGCACAACCGAAACAGCTCCTCTGCACGAGTCGGGAGTACTGCCAGTTTCTAGCATCTTTGCTGTTCCACTGCGGGCCATGGGCCATGGTGCCATTCGTAAGCCGACGGGTTTTGCATATACCACAAACTACATACAGCTCGCTCACGTCAATCTTCGGAACGGCATGCTGCAATCACATCACAGAAGGTCTCGAAGAATTGTGTGACCTCGCTCCAACACACCTCCCCCAAGATGTCGCGTTGACCCTCCCCGTAGTCCGTCCGGCTCATTATAGTTGGGGAGCATCCTCGGCTTTCTTCGAGTCCAATCCTCAAAGACTTGACTTCCTTCCTCCAGTTATAAGAGCAAGTGCCAAGCATGCCCCCAATCCTTTCAAAGACTTCACACCCACCTACGCTTTAGCCCGGGCACGAAGACATCAATCTCTTCAACGCCCACGGGCAAGGTTTCACCCAATGCACCTCACCAAAGAAATACGTTAACATCTTGTCTTCGCACCACCGCACCCCCAGCAACACCAATGGCTTTGAGGTTTGGTCAAAGGACCGCTTCAGAGCTAATCTGCCGTGCGACAGCTTTGCACGGCAGAACGAGGTCCGAAGCTCGCTGGCCATCGGCGTGCCACACAGCAGCACAGTCAGTGGCATGGGGCAACCCAGTGATTTTTGGCGAAAGCATGTGAAACCAAGCACCAGTAAGGCGGCCTCCACCACAATGGCTCGACCGGTCTCAGAGACGATTCACGAGTTGGTAGGCCGCTGCTGCCAATGTGTCGCTACGCTGCGGTTCTGGTCTTCAACACTCTTTGGGTTCTATGAAGGAGTTGTGTTGACAGTGCTGAAAGTCAGTGCAACCTAGTCTTAGCGAAGAGTGTCCTCGGTGAGCTGGGGTGGATTGTAGTCCGCGCCTAGCACCTGCCCAGGGTTGGATGTGGGCAAGTGAGAGAGACATGCTACCCCTCCCTTGTTCAAGCCGAATAATTCTTCGCAGCCTTGGGAGTGGCTACAGCAACGGGGTATGTCACATCTTGCCATGTTCAGTCCCATGAGCCTGCTGGAGGTTCGCATCTCCCCAATCGTCCACCACAGGAAGGCTCCCTGCAAGAGTTAGTCTGCCTACTGCTTCAATGGCGCACAGCCTCCAAGCAAAGCCTGCAAGCAAGGGCTCCAGCGGCGCCATTGGATTCCTTCGAGGACGCTTGCTCGATGCATCCATGATACGCAAAACTTACCTCCAAGTGCCTCCCCTCAAACAACGCCATGGGCATGCCGGTTTTCGTTCCAGTCTAAACGATCTGGGCTTGGGGTTGCGAGCGCGCTTGGACACCCTCGGACGGGACACATCGTTGCAGTGCAGGTCTGGGCGCACCGTCACTGGTGTCAGTCCGGCCACAGAGCAGAAAATAGATAGATGCTGATTTTAGTGGCAAGTGTCTCCGGATCGTCTCGCACCTGCGAGGCTGGAACTTTTGGTTCTGCCAACACAAACACGCAGCACTAAAGAGCGGCAAAACATGGAACCAAATCACAAGAACAGCAGCAACATCCATCCAGACTAACACCGACAACACCAACGACATCACCAGGACCACCGGCAGTTGGACGACAACCTCCCACAACAGAGGGGTAATGGCTGCAGCAGCATCTGGGAGGGGCAACGACTAGACCAGCATATCGTCACAGCTCACTTTGGCTAGCATGTTACTACTGTTGTTGTCATCATGAACCCGATTGCTTTTCCAGGTGTTGTAGTACAAGTGCGCAGACATGCACAAACACTACCAGACACTGGACAGCAACAGCAAAGGTACTGCCCAGGTCAACACTGCCAGAGAAGACTGTGCAAAACGATGGTGATGATGCGGGGCGATGATAGGGATCATCATGTGAAAATGATGGCGGTGACGAAAAGGATGAGGCAGGTTTTGATGTCAATGTGCTTGGCTCCTGGGTTCGGTACATCTGCGTTCGCCATTGGTATCAACCCTGGAAAACACTGCCAGGTTTAGGGCTTGGGGCTAGGACATTTATGTATTGCTTGACGCTCCTTCTATGTGCATCATTACAAATACTAGGCGAAGCCAGCTACAGTACGCTTCAAGAGCTTCCTGCCTTGTTGTTAGTTTGATGACAAAATCCTAACCCTCAACTCTCAACGTGTAAAGCACAACTTCAATGCACTTCGTGTTCCTGCAGTCTAAGTCCAAACATCGACACACGCTTCTGGAACACCAGTTTGCAAGCTCAAGCTGTGAAGTTTCCTTCTGCCCACTTGCCGCGGTCGACCTTTTGCTCTTTTCCGAGAGTGAGAAAGAATAAAGGGAGAGAGATGGAAAGATGGAGAACGATGTTGGGAAAGACAGACGCACAAACGTTGACTGCTCGAAGCAGAAGAAAAATTGAAGGATACTGTTTTATGTTCTGTGCTGCATGTCAGCTTTAACACAGCAAGGCTTCATACAGCAAGGCTTCACATTCATATTCATGACCCAGAATACATGCCGCTAACTGCCTGTAGATTCTTTTCTCTTATGATGTACACACACACACACATGAGCGCGCACACGTGACATGTGAATGCTGCACGATACGAAGGCCTTCTGCCAGAAGATCTGCAGCGGTACCGGTGGCACGCGAAGGAGCGTCGCAAGAGCAGCGTAGCTTGGACTGCGTGGGTTGTACACGTGGAACGATCGGCCCAGCACAGAGCTCCGCGCAGCGGCTCTGACGATCACCTGCCCAAAAGGCAACAAAAAGACTTCCGAATCGGCCTCCAGTGCCGCCAAGAATACGAGCCCGCCTTCGCTGCATAGTCCACAGGAGTCCAATCGCAAACGGCGTCAGACTCCGGACAGCATCCCAAACGAAGACAGCTTTGCAGAAATCGATCAGGGAAGAAGTCAGCACGACCGGCTCCTGTTTCGAAGACGGCAGGTTGCCAATACCATGTCAGATGTCCGGGATTGTCAGCAGTGCATGTCCGCAGGCATGCTTGCGTGGCAGCACTTGTGCATACACTGCGGTGCTATTGACAGGACATGTATTGACAACCACGGGCGGCATCGCGGGCAGGGGACATCTGCAGGCCTGTTGTGGTGCTGCCGCACAGCATGCCAGGTCGAAAGATTGCACCATGAAGACCGCGCGAGAAAGCCTTTCAAGTGGTCATGTATGAACCCGGAAAACACGCAAAACGAGTGCTTTCAGATCAAGTTCTTGAAGCACCTCAACAACCGAAGCCAAGTTGCAGCCCGCACGAAAGCTTCAGCAGCCAGTTTGGTCAACACGTATCCATTCTGCAAATCCTGCACGCAAGAACGACGCGTCTGCTTTGTAGTTATGGCAACGGATCATCGGCTGGCCTCGCGATCCTTCGTTCCGGCTTCACCAGCCGCCACAGAAATCGTGGAGATGTAGAACAAAGGCACGCCTGCAAAAGCCAGGCGGTGATGACGCTAACTGCGAGTCCGACCTATCTGCAGCGAAACCACAAAGCACTGGCAAGTCCGAGCCAACGCTCAAGATCCAGACAACCGATGCCTCGCTGCATCGCCACTTGGACCATCTGCCAGGTGCCGACAACGTTCGTCGGTCCTTGAAATGTTCCGGCTCATGAGGGTATAATGGCCCTGCATATGATCTACCCGGGGTAAAGCCTGCCATGGCTCGAAGCTGTGCATAGCTCAAGGCCCAGTTTACCACAGCCGCCGCGTGGAAAATGGCATCCTCAGGTCAAGAACTTCAACACTCGACACTCACTCTAGGAAGGGAAACGGATGGAACACTGCACTCGCGCTGCGCTGTCCTCGGAGCATGCTCAACAATGAAACCAAAGCACAAGACGATGCAGCCAGGCTCCAACACTTCAAGGGGACACTCGACACTGGTTTGGACAGGACAGGCAAAACAAACACATTGTTTCTTCGACTGCTTGGGCACCCCTCGCAGTCCAGTGTGTGCGTGCGTGGTGTGCGTGGCGTGCGTGGTGTGTGTCTGCGCGTGTCTACACAATCTACATATAATGCATGAGCCTGCAGGTGTGTACATGTTATATATATATATATGTATGTATGTATGTATATACATATGCAAGTTTACACACACACACACACATATATACATATACAAACGTGTGTGTGTGTGTGTAAAATAAATGCATAAACACACATAAACATAATTATGTATGTAACCAGTTATCTTTCATAGCCCAACCCTGCAAGATGCACAACGTACGGCTGCCCAATGGGGCAACCACTGTGATGCTTTGTCCAACCCTGAGACTCGTGAAGCATTGCAGTCCAAATTTCTGACATCAATGGCTGGACAGGGCGGGGGGGGGGGGTATTGGGGGAGGGTCAAATTTCTCCAAACTGCGAGATTTTGTGTAATGAACATTAGTAAGGTGTTTTGAGAGTTTTCGAGTTGGAACTGTTGGAACTACGTTGAGAATTACACTACTAACTCCTCAGTTTCAGGGTTGGAAATGTTCATATTGTGAGAACCGCAGAATTTTGCGATGTTCAACGTGCGAAACACTGCAGTTCTGAGGAATTGCGAACTTTGCAACTTGAAAGTCACCAACCACGGTAACGAAAATTCTAGCATTTATGGCTGGGCATGGAGCAAACGATCTTTTCCCACATGTTGTCTTTAAAGCACTACATACAGTGTTTGGCGAATTTCAGGTAGGTTGGATTTCTGGAACTGTTTGAACTTTACAGGGCTTCGTGATTGAGATTCAGTGCACGAAACACTGTATTACTCAACTATGCGTTCATTTCGATTATTAGAAAATTTGACTATTGCATGCTATGGCGAGGTTCAGCGCACGAAAAAACGAAACGAAGCGTTCTTAAACTCGAGAAGCGGCACAAAGTTACCAACGTCAAGTCCTGGCACCGGCTTGTGAGGGTGTTCTAGTCGCACGGAACTCGAACAAGGCTACGAGCGCGAGTCAAAGTTGAAACTCTACTCACCTGTACAACTGAGCCATACCTGCCATACCTGCTGAAAACAAGAGACGTTTACAACCGCTGCAGGAGAGAGAGAGAGAGCGAGACCGAGAGCGAGAGCGAGAGTAGAGAGAACAGAGAGCCAAAGGACAGAGCTTCACACGCACACGCAACGCTAGCAATTGGGTTAAAAGGCCAAATATTCTTTATGGCCACATTTCGAGTGACCTGCTTCGATACTGTCGGCGGAGGGAGAGATGAGCCAAGCAACGAACTTTCTCTCTTCAAGTTCGGTGCCAAGCGATGCATGCGACACGTCCCCCAGCACTTGCCTCGGGGTGGGGGTGCAGACTTGCTGAGGCTCGAGGACTTCCTCATCCTTGCACGTCTACCGTCGATTTTGGGGGTCCACACCCTAAGCCTTCCCGTGGAAACTGGCCATGTCGAGTTACTCCACGGCCACCGGCAGCTCGCCGTCATGTTTTCGCACGAGAGCCTGATCGACTTTAATTTCTTGATTGCATTCGGCAGCCAGGAATTTCAGCTTCTTCCTTCGCAACCTGAAGATAAGAAGCACGCTTCGTCCTTTACAACCACTCCTGCAAACCCAAATCCAGCAGACCTGCGCGCCGACTTGTGGACCAGGCGCTGGCAGCATTTCCGGAATCTGGCAAACATCCTGCAGGAACCTTTCAAGCCTAAGCCGCCACGGGGCAACCACCTGCTTCCCATCCGCCAGCAAGCTGGCCACCAGCTCGCGGCCCAGGAGTCCAGTGGCACCCGTCACGAGGAAACCTGATGGCAGTAGCGATGCGAACTTAGAGAGGGTTGGATGAGATTGGTTGTTGGAGTAGAGGGTAGCACTCGGCTGGTGAGCATTCAGTGCATCGGCAGCTTGCATTCGTGGGAAGGACCACAACCATATCAAGAATATGATTCGCACAACGGCGCCATCATTTGCTCGAGATTTTAAGCGCAGCCAACGGCATGACAGCCTGAGCAGCCGACGTTTTGCCGAGATGGCGGCTGGCGGCACACTCACGGCAGGGGCGGCGGCCAGGTCGGCCTGTACAAACAGCCGCTGCAGCATCGGCTACTTGGAGTTTAGGTGTTTACTTACAAGCAATAACATGCACACGCGGAAAAAAGGAACGAGTTCCAGAACACGGCAGTCGTGTGGGCATGGATGCCCTTGCACACAAGTGTGGGTCTGCTGTCGCTGCTGTTTGCCTTGATGCACATTTCTCCCTGTGTTGTGCAGGGATTTTCTGGGATTCTGACCTTGCAGCAGCGAGGATCTTGGTATCGGCGGAAACAGCAACACGGTGGCAACACGACGGCGCCTTCACCAGCTCTTGAACAAGCGCAGCGGGCTGCAGAGCAACTCCTCGCCGTCTTGCCTTCCACATGGCGTGAAACTTACTACTTTCTGTGGGAATCGGTCTTTCATGGGCAGTCGAAGGGCACACGAAGTCGCCGACCTGACTAAGCTGGGTGCATTCCTGCTTCCCGACTGGCACACTTCACGCCACAAGCGAATCGACAACGAGCCAGTCAGAACGCAATGCCAAAGTGAGTGATGTTCCGTAGACCCCCATACCGAGGGCACTGCAGCTCAGTTCGTGGATTCGCGCTTGAAAAATCGATATCTCTAAGACGCCTCAACTTCATACATGGGGGCAGGATCTCATTTCTTGAGCCTCCCGGTGCACGTATCTCCACCACGGCACAAGCTCCCTACCTGCGAAGCAGCCAAGTCCACGAAACTTGCGGCCTGCCTCGGCCATCAGCCGAACCTCACTCACAAGATGTTGGAGTCTAGGATGCTGGACACCCCGCAAATAGCGAAATGGGGTGCAACCCATCGTGACTCCAACTAAACCTTGGTCCGGGAGCCATCTCCATAGAGTCCTTGGGGCGCTCCAAGGTAGCAGACAGCAGCTTCTCCTTGTAGCGGGCCTGGTGGGCAAGGCGCAGACTGCGAAGGTACCAAATAGTGGAACGGGAAGTACAGCTCAGTGCTCCCTCTGCACTCGTCATGTCTTCTGAGACTTCAGACCAGAACACACATGTAAACGTGCAACCTACATGGCTTTGTGCCGCATCACAACATGAACGCTGAGTCCTCAAAAGCACGAGACAAAGCAACAACTATGTGCGCACGAGCACAGACACATGTGTTGCACGAGGCTTGGGGTGAGAAAGTCGGGCTTCGATAAGGCAAACAAGACCGTCGGCGTTTCTGTTCCGATGCCAGGCGACTAGCAGAGCAGGGCGATTGATCTTCCTTGCTGCAAGGCGAATCCGCCGATGGCTCTTCATCCCAATACCAGTGGGTGCGCTACATTAGAATCAGTTCAACTCGAAGGTCATGACTCACTTGACAAGCGCGTGGCAACGTGCCATGACAAGCTTGGTGGGAAAGTGCTGGCAAGCATCTGGTTCTCGAGCAGCCCACCGTTCTGGAATGTCCACGGCTGGCTTTCGAGAATGACCCGGGACACCTCGCATAGCAACTCCGAGGCAGAGTTTTTTGCGACACAGGCTGAAGCCAACAAGCCGGCTGCCACCAGAATGACGGCATGGACGGATGTTGAATCTAGGGGCACGGCCACCTCGTGCTTGCCCAGCCCCTGCTCCATCGCAACTTGCTGCATCTTGGACCTTAGCCATGAGGTTTGCGCAAATAACAGAATCAGCTGCCAGACCGAAGACGGGAGACCACAGGTCATCGTACAACAGAAATCTGATCCTCTTTCGGCCCGGAACCATGCCGACACAACCCACAAAGCATGCACGAATCCAGCCACTGCAAGTTTGAACAGCTTCTGAAACAACAAAATGAAGCTAGTCAGTGCGAGCGTCAGACTGAAACTTTGAAGCAGTAGCCACTGGCTTCAATCATGCCGTGCTCAGCTCGGGACAAGAGTTGCTTGTCATCCAAAGAGCTCCGGGGCTGCACGACGCAGGCTGCCGCGACCGTATTCTCCTGAGAATCGGTGCTCGCTGTTGCATTCTCGGACTCATGGCTGGATATGACACGTTCACCTTTGCCGGACAGTGTCCAGCATGCGCACCAGCACTGAAACTTGTCACCACGGTGTTGGCGCCGAGAGACTTCGGGATTGGCAATGATGAAGACTTGGTCGAGGTCCTGGACGAGACTGGCCTGGCACTTGGAGTGCGCACTCTCCGTCTGTCCGGCAGCTTAATTGGCGAGGGGCTAACACGACCACCCCGTCAAACGCCAACCGGCCACGCAATTGAAACGGCCCTGCTTGTGACTGTGAAAGCCGCCCCACCCTTGCGGGGAGATGTGTCTCTCTCCGCATCTGCTTGTCTCCACATCACATGAGTGTGTGTATGTGTCACAGCAGGGACCGCTGCTAACAAACACGAAAACCAAACTGCAGCGGATGTGCATCGACAGCTGCCGTTGAGTACAGCTGGATGACTGACTATTCAGCGTGCATCCCGTGAACTGAACGTCCTCCTCCAAAACACCTCTGCTGCCACGGGGCATACTTCTCTTCAAGACCCTCGGCAGAGAGGAACAATCCATTCGCCATTTTGGCGACGTTCCCGACACGACCTGCCAAGACCCAGACTTTGAGATGACCTTCACCCACACATACGGCTCCTTGAAGCTACAAGCATGCAACATCAAGCCCTACTGTACATAACCGAAATCGAGCGTGAGCACTGCATGCCGAGTTCGGTCCTCCGAAACTTCAGGCAAACCCAATCTGCAACTCACGGCTCGCACATACAAGAGCCTAGAAGCTCCAAGAAGTCGTCCTTGTAGCAGCCGATGTCACCTCCGACACCATGCGCGAGAACTAAGCATACCATCCGCAATCTCGTTCGCAGTTATGTATGCACATCTTCTGACTGCCGATTGCTCAACTCGCTTGACAATTAAATAATTACCTCAACAGCTGAACGATAGCTTACAGAAAAGATTCTCGAATCGCCTTTGCTACATAGCCTAGCCTTGCGACGCCTAGTTCGCCTGACAGGGAAATAACACTCAACTGCGAAATGTCAAGCCAATGCGACGAAGATACCGGTGCAATAGAAACCGTCCTCGTCCAATGCAAGAGTAGCTCCAACATATGCTTGAGCTTGCACACCTGACAGCTGAGAGCTCAGCAACACTTCATAGTTTCCTAAATGTGAGCCAACCAACAGCACCTTCGAAGCCTGTTTCTTGGGCACGTCCGTGCCGACGTGTGCTAAGGGAGTCTCAAACTTAACCACTCACGGCAACAATGTGATCTGCATGCTTCATGACACTTTGACACAGGAACACGGATGCAGTTGGAATCGGGCACAGATCACACATGTACTTCTCTCTTTGCAGGCGTGCGACGCGTGTTCTTGCAGCGTACCCGGACCTCACCCGTGAAGCCTCCTAGGAGAGCACGAGAGTGAGCCACTGAAACATGATTGCATCGTTCACGACCTAGTCCGCGCTTGATTTGCTGCTTATCTGGATGGTGATCATTCCAATGCAGCCATTGTTCCTGGGTCGTGGCCGAGAGCAGTCAAAGGAACTATCTTCACCTGCACATTGCAAGGCCCGTCTTTACCGGGGAAGTTGACCACCTTCTCTACCGGCAGCATGAAACAACCCGCTGCACTCACCTTGCCATCGAACACAGCAAGCAAAGCTTCGACCAAACATGCCGAACTTCCCTGCAAGCACAACTCCTCCACGTTGGGATTCACGCGGCCGTTGTGAGCAATAGGGCCGACTTCTGTAGCTCCGTAGCCTTGGCCGTAAATCAGTCTAAATGCGACTCCCGTACTTTTTGTGAGCTCGTTGGAACGACTTCAGACAGAAATCGGCTGCTCCAAATGTGCAGCTAAGCATCTGTTCGTCACGCCTCATTCGGAATTGCTGAAGCCCATAGCTACTGGCAGAAATCCGGGGTTTTGGGCACCACAGCATTGGCAAAGGGCCAAATGCAGACCTGCGGCTGCAGCTGCACGACTCAAAGCACAGCCGCAGGAAGTCGAAAAGCCTTCCGGCCAGGCAAATTTAAAGGCTTGCGTTGCAGTTGCTGTGGTCGGCTGGCAAACAAAACAGACGAGAGATTCAAGAGAAGCTCTACGCGCAAAGACATGGAATCAAGTCGCGAGTCCTCTTTGTCACTGGCGCACTCCCCGTCGTAAGGCTGTGCAGGCGGCCCCCAAAGCTCAAGCGCAGCTCCTGTCCAAATTTCAACAGTGTGGTGTTTCGAACACAGTACTGATGCCCGGAAGCAGGCAGAGCCGTTCGGCTAGTCATAATGCCAAAGACGGCGCAAACTACTTTCCTCTCCCCAGACCTGGCTGGGGCCCGCTGGGGTCCTCGAGGGTAGCCTCCTTGCTCTCGTAGACGCTCAGCAGCGGTTCGAAGAATCGTGGAACTCCTGTAGCTGCCAGGGGTTCGGAGCTTTTGAGGCTTGAAAATGCAGATGTGGCTGCTGCAGTCGCCATCGTCATCACCAAGTGCTGGGCATAGAAAACATGTGTCACAGCACCGCGAAACAAAAAGTACAGAAGCATCACCGTCATGCCTGGCAGGAAGGAAAGTATCATCTCGCGGGATGTATCATCCGTGACTCACGAAAGGTGCGAGTTGCCCCCAAACCATTATCCTTGAATGCCGGTGGGCTCGACGATTCGCGCATCGGCGTAGGCAGTCTGTGCGCTGGAAAACCTGGAATGAAGGTGAAGGCACTGTAATGTGGACAAGTGTCCACTCGTTTGGCACTCAACGGACAGTCCGTTCAGCTCAGTCTCGTTGTATGTACTGGAGCTAGGCAGCCTCGTCCGATTGATAGAGATTCCCTGTTCTGTGCCAAGCAGCGCCAAGCAAGAGCCTTGCAAGAAGGCTGCTGCGGTGCCAAGCTGCTCATTCATGTGCGAATAGGGCTGGTAGGCAAGGTGGCATGGGCCTCAGCAGCCAACACAACCTGCCACAAATATATTTGTCTGAGCAGCTTGCATGTCACAACCACTCCCTGAAACTGCCGTCGATCGACCCTACTTGACACCACAAAATGTGTGACCATCGCAAAAGAATTTTTGGGTTGTTTCGCCGTGAATCTGTCAGGGGTTGCTGCTTTCGCATAGAGCCACAGAAAGGAGTAGAGCTCCTCATGGTCACCTGGGGTCGCCAACGTCTCGTAACTTGAATAGCGGTGGCTCTTGTTTTCGGACAGGCTGCGGCGGATGGCTTTCGGAGTCCCCGTAGAACCGGAAGTGAAGATCCTCAGCTGCAGCAATCTTCGGAAGTATGTGGTTCCAAATTAGGGCTCCCATGAAGGCATTCATTTGAACAAGCTTTTTGAAAACAGCCCTACCTGAACAATCCACTCAACTTGCCGATGCATGCTAGTGGACACGGCCGCCCAAAAATTGGAGGCAACCTTGTAGAATTCCCTGCGTTGCTGCTCGATTATTCGAAGGATGCTTGCTTCTGAAAGAGCACGTCCAGGTATCCTTGGGGTCTGCATGATTCCCACACCCGTCAACAACTCAACAAGCTAGAACAGTTTCAGGTCTCGGGGTGGTAAGTGGTACTTGTGCGGTAATGCGGTCTGCTATTTCTGCCTGAAGGACTCTTAATCTAGGTCCTTCATGAGCTGGCCCGGTCATTCCGCCTCTTGCGGCCCCACTCCTATCTCCCCACAAGAATCGGTCTTTTCAATTCCCTGACGCTGCAACGCCAAGCCGCATGCTCGCCGACCTACGCAGCGATGCCTGGGGCCCTTCTGGAAGGCGGCGGCCTTGCCTGCGAGACCAAGCTATGAGAGAGGCGACGTCCAAATTCAGGAGGGCATGCACGTGGTTGAAACACTGACAGTGATATGCAAGGTGAGGGAAAGCCATGCTGGCTTCCGAAGCACCGCTTCGACTGCGGATTCAGCGTCGTGGGAGTCACTCTAGCTAACTATTTTCGGTGCTGGAAGCTAAACCCAAAAAAACCGAACGCATCTGAAGCCCGAACTGTTGACTTCCGGCGTCCAAAGTCCAAGGCGCCGCACCAATTCTCCGACTTCTGCACTTGGCAGATGGGGCACCTCGGCCCAAATCTCACAGCGGGAACAGTGCTCATGCCTATGCAGGGGGATCTGTTCGAAATGGACACACTGGAACATGGGGACTAGGGGACTATGCTTTCGAACGGCACCTCACATCTGAAAATGTCTTCAAGTCTTCAAGCATCTGCCAGAACCCCTCGCGAAATGCCCCTACCTTGAGCTCCGACGGCTGCTCCCCAACAGTCAACGTGGGAAGAGCCACGCTGAGGGCCGCGAGTTGCGAACCTGCGTCTGAAAGACTGAGAGACGCATCATCCGTGATGCTGCATGCTGTCCAACCATTGGCCGCTTTCGGTCTACAACTACTGCAACGATGCCATGCTCGTCCTGTCGAAACCCAGACGAACGGCCTGATGCTAGCATGTTACAGCGTCAGAGCCCAACTTTCAAAGCATTCGGGCTCCCAAAGCCAAGCGGAGAATTGTCGGCTATAGTTCTGCCGGCGCACTGCCCAGTGCCATGAAGCACCACCTCATTGTTCAATGCATAGGCTGAGCTGCCCAGGCACCAACAAAAAGCTGCTTGACTTCTGACTGGCAAGGGCAAGCTGCGAACAGTTGCCGAACAGCTTCTGCAGGCAAGCAGCTGGTTTGCCATGCAGGCGAGAAAGCAGAAGAAGGCTTCCAGGCACGTGCTGCCAATCCACGCTATCCTTTTCGGGCACAAGCCCGAGCAAGCACGGAACTTTCAAAGTCAATCCCTGATTTAGCGCCTGGAGCCTGAGCCAGATTAATTGGCAAACTGCACGGCTCGCCGCTGAGGCCGCTCATGACTGGTGCCTGATTCTAGTCACGGCGCAATGCAGTCGGGGCAACGCAGACTTCATCACCACACGCTCCCTACCAAGCAAACCCACCAACGCTTCAGTGCGAATCAGGAAATAATTGTGACAAGGTTCACGACATCCTCGTCCTGTGCGACCTGCGCAATGAGTCAGTGCACAAGGCAAAATCAGACTTCTAGCCGTGGGTCGCTCACTGTGTGTTGCGGTAGTACACACCGCAAGCTTTCCCAGTGGTAGGCACTTCGTGCTCGGTGGGGACATCTCGGATGTAAGCTTGCCTTGGTGTCGAGATCGTAGCGAGAGCGCATTGCCGAGGAGAAGCATTCAACGTCGCTCCAGAGTGCAGAGTACGAGAACTTCCTCAGAAGCAAAGACTGCGCATGCATGTCCACATTGAAATACTGTAGCGAGTTGTCTAGGGAGGCCGAGCCGGGGCGAACCGGTTGCTGTGTTCGCAAGGCCTTTTTGCAGCTCAAAGGCTGAAAGCCTTCTCCGGCTCTGACAGCCACAGCAGGTTGAGGAGCGTAGGCACGGACCTGAGTTGAGTTCTCATTGACCAGCCTTGCAAGCTTTTCGGGTTTCTACCTTGAAGCAGCGCGCATTTGCGAGGACGCAAATGTAAAACATATCTAATTACAGTCGCGGCCCCATCAGGACCCCCCTAAGGCCAAAAACAAAAACCTAAAGCCGTCCCAAGCGGTGCTGTGTAGCCCAGCAGCCACGCGCGCCAGGCACTGACGTAGGGTTCCACTTGGCGGCAGCAGCTCTGCACAGAAGGCCTAAGGCCAAGAGCAGAACACTCTGGAAGTTGAAGTGTGGCCTCCATTTGTGTCGAGGCTTGCGATCTAACGGAGCAAGGCCTCCACGCCAAGGAGAACGACCGAGCCCGACATGGAGATGCGAAGGTATCCTCAAAAACTATTAACGTCATCTGTCTGCAATAGAAGCGCTCTGAGCCCGCCACCCTGGACCGAGAAGCTCGGAAGCTTGACAAGGGCAGCATCAACGGCAGGCTCCCAAGCTCACGCCGTACTCCAAAGGCAAGGCGCGGCTCCGACGCCCAACAGGAGAACGCAGCAAATGGAGCCCGGGCGCAAGGGCGCAGTCGAGGAGGGCAGGAGGAGACCTGGGCTTCGTATACACTGTATGCATGTATGTATGTACTGTAATGTAATGTAATGAAATGTAATGTAATGTCTGTAATGAATGAATGAATGGATGGATTAATGAATGTATGTATGTGTATATGTGTGTATGTGTGACAGTTTGTTTGATGGGATTCCCACGTTGTCGTGGATTCCATGCCAGGTCCTATCTAAACTACGGCCAAAGCCATGAGGCAATGGGTGAGGCTCCGCGTCGGCGCTCCGGGTCAGGCAGCAGAAAGCACGAAGGGAAAGCCTGGCCCCGGCCTTTGGCAAGTTCGGAGCAGCTGCTTCGCTACAGTACAGGTGCCAGGAACACGTTTGCGCCGATGCCTACAGCCCGAGAGCCAGTGCTGATTGACAGACTTGACTCTGAAGCACGACCTCGTTCGTCGGCACGCGCACGGCTATGATCACATCCTCTGCTCCGGGTGATTGCATAGCTAACCCAGAGAGGCAGGCCTCATGCCCCAGGGAAGCGGCCGTAAGAAACTCGGTTGGGATGTGTTGGAGGAAAGAGGAGACAGAAACATGAAACTGGAGTCAACGAGAGCGCGAGGGAGCAGGGAAGGATTCGACACACGCTTACATTCTGTGCCCATGGACCCTGTGCTCCTCCAGGAAAAGTGCCTCGTCAGATTTGGGTCGCGGATCCTGCAGTACGGCCTCCGCTGAATGCAGTGCATTTCCACTTCTGAAGTCGGAACTGTAGGACATGAGGTGTTGCTTTTTGTTGCTGACCCATAGCCTCCCACCAGCCATCACAGAAAAGGCCAAACGGGGGGGCGGCCGCAGCCTTGTCTGCGCTGGCCACCTCCTTGGATCTTTCCAAGGGCCGCTCGGCTCCTCCGCTCCGGCTCTGCCAACAAAAGAAAACGAGCGGCCAAGACACCAGCAGCCCTCGACCGCGGATCCCGGCGCTTTCCTCAAAATTCGGAACACAGCTCCAACAAAGCCCAAATCATGGCATGTCACTGGCTAGACCTATCAAACCTTGAACACATAACTCCCAAATCGTAGTGAACTTTCGTGAATCCCTGAACGGCCGAGGCAGCGTCTGCCACCATCTCAGCGCAAGGCAGCTGGGAGCGTGCTCCGATGTACCATGGTTGCTGGATGGGAGATGCCTGCTTTGAGCATGCAGTTGAACCAAAGTCATCACGTCTGCGAATCAACCGTCATAGGAACTATGGAACGAAGTATAACAACAATAAATGTCTGACGTTCTTCTAACTGAAATGACTAGCAAGGCAATCTTTGCCTTGCTTGGTCTATTCAGCTAGGGTTACCCCATTAAGCTGACGCCCGCTGGCGGGCTCTTTTTTTGCGGGCCTGCAAGATGGCAGCCACGGCAATGGAGGCTGAGCTCATCCTAAGACCTGCAAGCTTCAAGTAGACAAGGGCTACCGCTGGCTGATCATTCATGTCACTAAGGACGTCATGCCATCACCCTTCGCCAAGACACCTGCCAGATCTTCATTTCGAACCACATGTAGCGAGATACCCGAGTCAGCACCTTGGCACAACTGATTTCAGACCGTAGACTGCGCACTGGGCTCTGACACACCAACCTAGACTCTAAACCATCTGAAACACAGGTACAAGCCCGCACCGGTCGACTACCTGCACTCTCAAGCTGCCGCACCTCGGCTTTTCATTCAACTGGAAGTCAACAGACCCTGATTCAAAATTCAAGCTTTGCTTTATTTTTGCTTTGGCTGTGGCGTGTTCACACTTCCCCCGTGCCTGCCAGGGACTTCGCACGGAGATACAGGCGCCACTGGGGCTCTTGTCCTCACATGGTCACATGGTCTTCCAATCCAACCCCAGAAAGTCTTCATCAAACTTCAGTCCTACACGGGCTTACACGGGCAATTGTCGTCCGCTTTCCACGTCGAATTCTTCAATGGAAGGAAGCGAGACCTACCTAGCTCGATGCAGCAGGATCGTCATCCCACCCCTTCGACCTTTGCAACACCAGAAGCTTCAAAGCTTATATTAAAGCTTCGAATCCTCAAGATTCCCATCTACTACATATGCGTTCTACATCTGGGCGGCGCAGCAAGGCTTCGAGTGCCGGTGTGAGCAGGAACGTCCACCGTGGGGGCTCCTTGTATGTGCACACTGTGAGGGGGCGAGAGCGAGAAAAGAGAGAGAGAGAGAGAGAGGGCGAGAGACCGAGAACTGAGGCATTCGGGCATTGTCTTCTTCCACCTGCCTACGTCCCATGCCACTGCACGACCGTAATCGAAGGCTTGTCTGCCTTGAGCTGCCTTGAGGCCTCTGTCATCGTACCCTTGTGCAAGCAAGGGTCGGCAGAGAGGCTTGTCTGAACGCCCAGATCCGCCTGTAGCCTCCGTTTCTTCGTCAGCAAAGCTGCTTGCTGGTCATTGCTGATTGCTGGTCTCCATCGCTCTCCGCGAGCCCTGATAATCCAAAATCCCTTCCAGCATCACGCTCATCGAGCCGAGACTCACGCAGTCATGGCCATCCGCGTTGACGCCATGACTGGTGGTTCCACAAAGCACTTGAAGATGAGGCTGTGGCAGCCTGAAATGCAAGGTTCCCTTTGCAAGGAGCCCGGTGCTCCTATAATGTATGCATTGCTGAGCCTGCCCAGACAGAATGCGGAATTGGGGCCGAATTCAATGGCCCAAGCAGCGACTCGAGAGCTGCGAGGGCTGCCAAGGACTGGCTCATGCTCGTTTTGCCTGCTTGCGTGCCGTCAAGACTTCAGGCTGACGGCCACTGTAGCACCTACAATTACGCCAAGGACAGTGCCAACGCTAATATCAACCCCGCCGCCACCACCACCAACAGCAACCACCACCACGACCACCACCACGACCACCCCCACCACCAACAGCAACCGCAACCGCAACCGCAACCACGACCACGACAACCATAAGAACAAGAAGCTGCAACTACAACTGCTGCTACTACAGCAACAGCAGCAGCAACAACGCTAAACAAGAACAATAACAACAACAAGAACAAGAGCACCACCACCACCACCAACAACAACAACAAGATCCAACAACCAACAACCAACAACCACAACAGCACCAACACCAACACCTACAATTACACCAGTGGCAATGGCAACGCTAGCGCCAACCCCGCCACCACAACCATCACCAACGACCACAACCACAACAGCAACCACAACAACTACAACTACAACTACAACTACAACTACAACTACAACAACAACAACAACTACTAGTACTACTACTAGTACTACTACTACTACTACTACTACTACTACCACTACTACTACTACTACTACTACTACTACTACTACTACTGCTACTACCACTGCCACTACCGCTATCCCTACCGCTACCGCTACCACTACCACTACCACTGCGACTCCTACTGCTGCTACTACTACTACCACTACAGTATGACGACCACTACTACTACTACTGCTGCTGCTGCTGCTGCTACTACTACTACTACTACTACTACTACTACTACTATGACTACGACTACCACAATCTACTACGAACTGCTACGAACTCCAAAAATCATACCATGGACATTAGACAACGTCGCTCTCACCAGGGGTTTGCTAGCAATACCAACATCGGAAGTACCGCTTGCGCTTATGCTGTGCATCTTGGGACGTTGCGAATGTATTCTCAAGGTTCCTAGAGCCGGGTATACCCAGAAATACCATCTAAAATCAATGTGAGTGCTATCGGTTCGCCGATGCACTTTTGCTATGCGGCTCATATCACACAGATGACGGAGCTAAACCTTCCCAAATGTTGAAGACCAACTCGTGGCTTTGTGCAGACAGGTCGGACCACGGCCAATCGACTCTAGCTAAACCTCAACCTGGCTCCACAACAAACCACCCGGCTCCAGGCCTCAAAGTTTCCTGCAGTGGCATGAGCCATAGCCGACGCTACGCTGTCTGGTTTCAGCACGCGTAACGGGGCACTAGTCTGGAAACATAGTCTCTTTTCCCTGAGTTGCCAACATCATATGCTGCAACCCTTGCATCAGCTTTCGCCTAATGAGATTCCACGGCTCTTATGCCTTACGCAGCCTTGCAGCACAGACTGTAAGTTCTCACTGCGACCTTGCGAAAACTAAGGACGCGTGTGCTGTAGATGGTTCTCCGCACTTGGCTTGGCTCCCCCTAAAGCGGAGCACCAGCAACGGTCATGAATCAAAGTGACATGGGCGTTTGCGCTGCCAAGCACCAGAGCTGCACCCGTGGCCCTTCTCAAGACCAGCCCCCAAACGCAGCCCACTAGGATTGATCTTCTCTGCGCGCCGACACTCTCAAGCACCCGTGGACAGAAGGAATCGACATTTGCAGCATTCCTGTATCCCAAGGTGCAAGGTGCGATGTCTGAGGGCTAGGCGCTTCCACCTCCAGCTGACGAGTGGCAAGCAGTCCTGTCAGCACGGCTTGGTTTCTTCTAGCCGCAGCTCCCCTTCGGACTTGGAGTCGGGAAGGCAACTATGCTTGAACTGTGTTCGGCGGCTAAAAGCCGCTAAGAACGGAACGACGCTTCGCTACACTTCACAACTGAAAAGACATGCCAGGAGCCTCGGGTGGCATCCAGCTCCTTGTTGTTTGCCTTGGGACCGCCACATAGTTCACATCGAAGCAGGAGTGCCAAATTGCGTAGCCACTGCTTGCGGGACATTGCTTAGCTGTCTGAACGTGTCAAACCTTGAAGCAAATCCGAAACACTCTAACACGATCATAATACCAGCTCGTCCCCTCTTGACTTTCGACCCTGCCGAGTCCTCTCAGCTGGGGTTTAATTCCGATCAGGCCATCCCAAACGGAAGCTTTGCTGCACGGCGGATGCCCTTCTGCCAGTCTGGGAATCCGGGAGACTTCGCCCGAGTTTCGAGCCTCCACACTCTTCTGCAGTGTCTCGGCCCTTGGCATGCAGAACAGCATGCATGCGGCGATTCAACTCATAGCTACATGCAAGACTGAGCTGCCTCTACCAGCAAGGCAGAAGCCGAATTGTTATCTCCCGTATGCCTCGGTACCTCCACCCCCGTCCTTCCGAAATTCGCGGAAGCTACCGGAACAAAAGGTCCCGGCTTCGACTTGTCTCCACTGCTGGACTGGAGCAGGTTGTTCACTTGCTCGGTCAGGGACTCTGCCTGGCTCTTGCTACGAAAAACACTATCATCATCCTCACCGCTGATGTTACATTGCGGCTCTTGGGTTTCGTATCAACATCAGATCTAAGCTGTCGAATGTGGGATCCACTTAACCTTCCGACTTGAATACAATTTTGCTGGCTATTTGTTTTCAGTTTCTGCACCCAGTGTTCAGTAACAAGGCTTAACTATTCTTAATTGGTGTTCGCCACTGATCGATGCATAGCTCTTCGAAGTTCTGGCAGCAGTGGCAGTAACAGCACTAGTTGTAGCAGCAGTGGTAGCGGCAGTTGTCGTAGAAGTGGCACAGCAGCAGCAGCAGTAGATACTAATAGTGGTGGTGGTGGTGGTGGTGGTGGTGGTGGTTGTAACGGTGGTGGTAGTAGTAGTAGGCGCAGGGTTGGTTGGTGACGCCAGTGTTTTCTTGGACTGATTGTGTTATTTCTCGAGTTTTGAGCTGTTTTTACTTGTTGTTGGGGGTGTCGCCCTTTTTGTGTTTTGTTTGTGTTAGCAGTTCATGTCTTGCTGAACGCTGTT